CTGACTCAGAACAACCCTGTATAGTGTTTCTGAGGCTATAAATCTTCGAGGGGACAGAAAACTTCACCTTTCTTCTTCAGAGTATAATCTGATGGACTATAATCACCAACCTTGTGGTTCGCCGTCTAGTGCTTATCACACAGAGCCATGAAGACATATTGTTATTGGTAAGTTTCATCAAGTCTTTTCTAACTCAAAGCTAAAACTAAATCAAAAGAAAAGGACTTGAAATCTAATCAGTCATATGTGTGGCATTTTACAATATGATTGTGAAATGCATGAAGTGTTACATATTCCCCAGCAATGCTGATGGTGTTATCTATCTGGCTTAACCACATTATTGTGATATGATTTTGTACTCAAGGTGCAAATGAAAATGTTCCATCAAATTCTTCAGCAACAGAGTGAGCATACTTTAGAACTTCATGCTTGTGAGCATAAATTGTGATGCTTTACTGCTCTTAAATGATGCATGATGAAAGGAGTGAAGACCTCATAATGTGGAACAAAATTCAGTGTGATGCTCTTAACTATTTAGCACTTCAAGCTCTTATGGGAACATTAAGCACTTCTACTAAAGAAAAGCAGGAACATGGTGTTTCTTATAATTAAGACTCTATCTAGAGAAATGGTAATGTATCAACCATATCATAGACAAGTTCAGTGTGCTGCGCAAGTCAAAGACAGTAATAGAGTAACCAGCCTTAAGAAGGATTTTAGTGAGTTAAATCAGTAGTCACTGAAAGCCTGGCAAAATGACTCTTTGACTGGCAGTAGAATCATCTGGAAAGCTTTTAAGACAATCATGCCCAGACCACACTCCAGGGATTTCAATTTAATTTTTCTGCAAGTGGGGAGCATCTGTAGTTTTGAAAGCTCCCCAGATGATTCTAATTTACAGCCAGAGTTGTGAACTTGAAATGCAAATCATTTGCAGATCTTTACAAATGCATGAATTATCCCTTTTGATTCTTCCTCCAGATCTTTAAGGAATGCTCCTATTGGGATTCCTCTAAGAGTAAGTGTAGCATCAGAAGAGGGAGAACAACAGATAGAAGAATACAAGGGAGGGACCACAGTTCCCCCAAATCTTTAGCTACCTGTTCTAATGAAAAATCATCTTTGGAATGTGACCTATTGCCTTCTAACCTGCAATTGTAAAAATGACTTAATTCATTGATCTAGTGAGTTTTTGGCATACTGGTGTGGCACTGTGGGATAATGCACTGGACCATAATAAGGTCAGCAGTTCAAATTCACCAGCCAATTCTCATAAACCCTATACTGACTCGATGGTAAATGAGCTTTTACTGACTGAAAACTAGTTGCTGTTGAGTCAGTTGTGACTCCACACTGGTGACCCCATGTGTGCAGAGTTGAATTGCTCCCCAGGGTTTTATTTGAATTGCTTCATGTGGTGACCTTTGGAAAACAGACTGCCTGGCCTTTCGTCCAAGGCACTTCTGGGTGGGTTCTAACCACCAACCTTTTGTTTAGTAGTGAAGTACTTAACCATTTGTTCCACCCAGGGACTCCTTTTACTAAGTCACGTCTTTCATATTTAAAAACAAAACAAAAAAGTTTCAAAAACTCAACTCCCCCCCCAAACCCAATGATCTGTGTTCCCCAGAATCAACATCTGCATAACTTTGTGATAACTGATATGACGTGTAAAGATGCAAATGTTGTTGTTGTTATGTGCTGTGGTTGGTAACCACTAAGCTACCAGAGCTCCTTAAAGATGCAAATGTGCGCTATGAATTATTTTTCCCCCTTTCCCTTCTTTAGACCCTGATACCTAGTTTAGAAAGGAGCTCTGGTAGCGTAGTGGTTACGACTCAGGCTGTGAACCGCAAGGTCAGCAGTTCGAAACTACCAGCTGCTCCGCGGGAGAAAGATGAGGCTTTCTACTCCCGTAAAGATTTACACCCT